GGTGCTATAGTCAATAGTGTCTCCAGGTTTTTCACCAAATACCATCAGGAGGCAGCTCTATCATCCATATCGACTTGTGGGACTTTGCAGTTGCTAGCTCAGCATCCCACTGTGCGCAGATTCATAAGGGATGTGACCAATTTGAGACCTCCAGTGGTGCACCTATACCCAATCTGGGATGTATCCAAGATCTTGCAGTCTCTCACTGGAGCCCCCTTTGAGCCTTTAAGATTGGCTGGCCTGCAGGTTCTTACCTTTAAAGTGGCATTTCTTGTGGCTGTTATGTCGGCCAGGAGGATTTCGGAGTTGGCGGCCCTTTCTGTGAGGAAGGACCTTTGTATGTTTCATTCGGACAGGGTGATTTTGAGATTTGACCCTACCTTTTTTCCAAAGGTGAATTCATGGTTTCACAGGGCTCAAGAATTAATTCTGCCTATCCTTTGTTCAAATCCGGCCCATGCGCTGGAAAGAAAGTGGCACATGTTGGAAGTGTGGAGGGCTCTCTGCATTTATCTAAAGAGGACTTCCTCCTTCAGGAAAACTGAATCATTGTTTGTGTCCTTCCAATTTCCACTCTTGGCAGGAAGGTCTCATCTTCCATGGTAGGCCGGTGGATTTGGGTGTGTATTGCGAAAACCTATGAGACCCAATCTCTACCTTTACCCAGGCAGGTAACTGCCCACTATACCAGGAGTGCAGCCACCACAGCAGCGTGGGCTATGCAGACTTTGATCGAAGAAGTCTGTAGAACAGCAACATGGTTCTCTCTGTCCCCTTTCATCCGGCATTACAAGTTGGATGTATTCACTTTGGCTGATGTGGCCTTTGGTAGGTACATGTAGAGCCGGGGACTCAGGACCAGATTGCTACCCACCCGTAGGACTGCCAGCTCTGGTATGTCCCATTCCTGGATGCTATCTCCACAAAGTATGGAGAAGGGGTGTTGGTCTTACCTGATACACTCCTTCTCTTACAGTGAAGATAGCATCCACCCCGACCCATCTGGTCTTGACTTCAAGGAGCAGCACTCCATCAAACACATCAAGTCTGTCACTTCGTCAAAAAGCTGGAGACGATTAGCAGAGGAGGTGTGTCTTAACAGCTCTAATAGTCCAATCAGCTAAGCCATGAGAGCTGTGGGTGCCTCCACATGTGTACTGGACCCGTGCCCCTCCTGGCTGGTTGTCAACAGCAGGGAGGTGACACGGGGCTGGATCCAGGCGGTTGTTGCCACCTCCCTTCGGGAGGGGGTCTTTCCCCCCGCACTCAAAGCGGCAGTGGTGAGAACCCTCCTGAAGAAAT